CAGAGCTGTCCAGAGCTTTGCTCTCCAACCTCCCAGGGACTGATCCAGTTTTGTGCTATGCCCTTGGTGCTTCACCTGATTCAAGATTTAGGCATTTTTTTCCTCACCTTGCTTCACTGGACAGCCGGCTCTGTGTAACCCCCACATTGGCAGCAATAGCCAAACACACTTCAGCACAGTGACAACAAATAACATTAGAATTACAGGTTGTTAGAGCCCGAGGTAATTTAAAGAGAATCTAGACCAAATTCCTGAAGCAGACTTCAAGACAGTAAAATTCTAAATTTGGTCCATTTTTAAAAATCATATACTAAATAGTTACCACCTTCCACCGATCACTTAATGATAATTCTGATTACTACTGATCAAGTGCTCACATTGTTCCAGACACTCTGCTAAGTATCCTACATGGATGATCTCATTTAACCCTCAAACAATGCTGAGGGAGGGAGACTCTAATTGTTTCCATTTTATAACAAGGGTTCAATGGAGAGGTTCAATGATTCAACCAGCATCGCATGGTTGGTGGTGTGAAGGCCTGGGGTCTTCTAACTTCTAGTTCAATGTTCAGTCCCTTACTCTACACTGACTCTCAAGTACAAGTCTTCTAAGTTATATTTGAATTACTTATCTGAAGATAGCCAGCACATCTCTTACTTATCAAATGAGTTTCTAATGGTTTCATAAAATGAAATTCACAGCCTCACTAATACTCACAATATAACTCCCCCCCCCCCCCAACCCAAGACTTTTCACTAAGTGCCTGTTCCTGTCCAGCTCCAGAATCTACTGCCCACTCTGCTGGCAGACCAAGGCAGGACCCCTTCTCCCTCTCCCCTTCCCTCCAACGAACATTTCTGTGGGACAATGTGAGCCAAGTAGGATGTTAGTCTTTGAAGGGAACGCAAAGATGAACACATCCTCCCTGTTTTCCAGGTATCGGCAGAAGATATGATGAAGATGCACATGCCTATGGAGCAGGGCAACCTATTATCAGTGTACTGTCAAGACAGAAGGCAAAAGTAAATGCTCTAGGAATTCAGAGACTGGACTCACATCCAGAGGCTCCAGGAAGGAGCAGGCCCTTGAGGTGGGCCTTGCAGGAGGAGCAGAATTTCAAGTAGATGTGGAGCCTTTCCTGGACTGGGTTATAAATTCCTCCCATTTTCTGAGTACCTGACTTGTAGAATACACACAGTAGGACCCCAAAAACATTTTCTAGTTCAATACTAGCCACTTGGGGCTAGGCTAGAAATCATGGACTTGGTTTTGATACCTTCCCTGGACATGAATTATACAAGTTCTACCCCTGCTCTGGGCCTCTGTTTTGCCCCAATATGAAATAGGAATATGGATGGGAGTGGTTATGTCCTTGCTCATGGTTTTCTGGTTAGAATTACATTATATTAAGTTAATATATGCAAAACTATTTACAAGCCAAAATGAAATACAAATATAAGAGACTCTGTCACTATTCTTATGGTGTTACAAAAACTAAAAATAACCAATATCTATGTACTTCTCATTTATCTAACAACCTTTTTAGACTAACTGCACTGGGTCAGGCACTGGGAATACAAAGATGAATAATGTCCATCTTCCATCCTTAGAATATAAAAGGTCCAGGAAAGGAGACAGTAGGTACAGTACAATTGATGACATGAATTTAATGTGCTAGAACAAAGGCTGATCTGGAGTTTGGCATGAGCCCTGCTCTTTCTTGATGATAGTGCAGGTAGATGGCAATGCTAACGATAAAAACTTCAAAATCAGGAATTCCATTGGCATGCTCCAGCATGTAATAGGCTTAAAGGCGAGGGAAACATATATTTTAATTCAAGCTTAAACTTTGTTCCAGGCACTTACATATTCATCATCTTCATAAAAAGCTAGGTGGTATTATGCCCATTTTATAGATGAAGAAGCTGAGACTCAGGGAGGTGAGGTCACTTTCTAAGGTTTATAAAACTATAAAGAGTAAATGTAAACCCAGGTTACTTGACTGCTTGATGTGTTTCCCAGTTTCCCTTATTGCTTTCTAATCAGCCAATTTTTTATAGAATTCATTCCATTCTAATCTTGAATGACCTTCTTTCTTGGATTGCTTTTCCAAGGAGAAAGATTTATGATAAGAAATATTTGACACTAATCTCTTCTATTATCATTTCCTCTTACACTTTCTATGATAAATTCCTTTCCTCCTACTACTCTCTCCTGACTTCTCCCTCATCTCCAATCCCAGTGAAATTACTAAGGAGTAAAGAATTCCCCAAAATGAACAACTTGCAGAGAGAGATCCTTGCCTTCTCAGCTGCTGGCCTATAAACTGTAGGGCAAAACACACTGAAAGAAGAAAGAGACTGGCCATACAATTCTGTTCAAGGAGTCCACCTAGACCAAACCTGTCCATGTCTTAATTTTATGGAGCCATAAAGAACATATAATCTGTAGAAACTTATATGATTGTCAGCCTCACCTACTTTACAGATAATGAAAATTGAAATCCAAGAATGTGAAAGGACTTGCCCAACGTCACACACTAATGAGAAGCAATCTGAACTGGAACCCTGGTCTCTTGACTCCTAGGCCAATGTTTTTCCACTAAATAGGTTGTCTCTTTAGCTTTTCTCGATTAACATCTCAACTTACATGAGATCATGACCTTTTCTAAAAGAAAGCTCAATGTTAGTGTCTTTACAAAGCCCAGAAGCCAGGGCCCCTTCTCAGCCTCTACTCTGATTAGCTCATGACCTCCTCCAAAGAACAGGAAGTAGCTTCATTTTTAGCTCTGAAAGCACATTCTGGGAAAGGGGGATTTGGGGAAGACAGTTCCTGTACATGATGGTCAAGAGAGATCAGCAGACACATTACTCTTGCTTGAAGGGGAAGATACATGGTCAGATATGTAAGATCAGATATGTAAGGGGAAGATGTTCCTTGAGTCTTAACCTAAACATATGTTCAGCAAGAGCTTGCCAAAGCCCCTGGGTTCAGGGAGAGGAGTAGTCTCTTCTGATCCTGTTCTAATGGGGCTGGATGCCTAAGTGGGGGTTGGGGTAGGAGCACCAGGTCAGGAAAGTTTCCAGGAACTTTGTACAATCTCCAGTGCTTCCCCCACCCTCTGCTAGCACCCACAACTTCCCTTGCCAAGGGAGGAAGGAGGAACACATTATTCAGTTTAATAATTTACACAAATTGGAAAGTTTACTGTGTGAAATAAAGGGGACTTAAGAGGGCAACAGATAAAAATTCCTGAGTCCTCTCTTACAGGATGGAGGTGTGGAGATGATCTCGCCTTGGGATATAACAATCTGGTTGTCTAATAGATGGGTTCAAAACAAGCAAGTAACCCTTCCCTTCAATGGTCAGCCAAGCTCTGTCTCCTTCTACTGGTGGGATGACATCCAATCTTAGCACTAATAGCTTGGGACAGACCTGGATTATTGACACTTGTCTATGTCAGTGGTTCTCAAACCTGGCAGTTTATCAGAATCATCTGGGGAGCTCATTACCAGGAACCAGAGATTAATTAAGTAGATCTGGGCTACGGCTCAGGAATCTTCATTTATAACAAGCAGGCCTGGTTTAAGAATTAATGATCTAGTTCAACCCCCATCCATTCAGCTATCAAAATTTTACACAATGATACAGGTTTTGCAACAAAGAAAACAGAGATGTCAAATGTGGGTTAGTGGCAGCACTTGGACTCAAACCCAGTCTCCTGCCTCCTGGTGTGATGTCTTTGCCAATGCCTCCCCCAGCTCACCAGAAGAGCTGGCTAGGAAGAGGTAGAGGTAAAGGTAGTTTTAAGGGTGCTCTCAGAAACCTGATGGGTTAAAAGGGGAAGGCACAACTGATGGCTTCTAAGGCACACTAACTGGTTGTTCCAGTCAGAAAGAATAGTCCGTTCATGGAAGCAGCCTGCAGTACGTGAGAAGCCAGAGGGAGAGAGGGGGAGAGTAGCAGAAGATAAAGTCTCAGAGGTAACGGGAGGCCAGGCCATCTGGGGCCCTCCAGGCCATATGAAGGAAGATATTTGGCTTTTATTTTGAGTCACTGCAAGATTTGGAGCAAGAGGGTGGCATAATCTGACATATTTTTGCAGGGATACTCTAATGCAGTGGTGGGACATACTCTACAGGGTAGGGGCACACGCAGGAAATTCAGTTAGGAGAATTTGCAGTAATCTCAGGGACAAAGGATGATGGCTCACACCAAGGCGGTAGGAATGCAGTGTTGAGAAGTAGGTGGATTCTTTACTTTTAAAAGTAAAGCTAAAAGCTAACAGATTTTCTGATAAATTGGATGTGAGATGTGCAATAAAAAGGGAGTCAAGGATGATGCCAAGTATTTTAGCTCCAGCAACAGGCAGGTTGCAGTTATCATCAACTGAGATGGAGAAGGCTGTGGGTGGAGAAGGTTTGGGGGAGGGACATCAGGAGTTCCGTTTTGGACGTGCTGAGTCATTGGCATTCATGTGGTATTTAAATAAAATCTCACCACTGGATGAGGTCATCAAGGGAGTGAGTATAGACAGAAAAGAAAAGAGGGCTGGTGACCCTTCAGCCTCAAGAGGTTAGAGAGAATATGAGGAATTAATAAAAGAGTGAGAAAGAGTAACCAGTGAGTTAGGAGGAAAACCATATGTGGAGTCATAGAAGCCACATATTTTCAGGAAGAGGGAGTGATCAGTTGGGTCAAATGCCACTGGCAGGTGAAGTGAGATCAAGGTTGAGAATGACTATTGGATATAAATATTGGAGGACACTTGTAACCTTGATAGGAGCAACATTTGACTCCTGACCTCATGGAGTCCCACAGCTTGACTACTGACTGTCATTAGGGCTCCTTATTGTTAATTTTCTCTTCTCAGTTAGGTTATAAACTTTGCAACATCAGGGAGGATGAGTCAGCGTATCCCCAGAGCATGAATACCACCCACCGGAATGCCCTCTCATCGGGGCACTGACCTAGAACAGATTTCCTCATGCCTGACTTACCTTGGATGCAGAATTTCAGTTCCTTGGGGTCAGTGACAACCTTTCTGCATTCCTGGATCACTGCCCGATTCTTCTTGGTTTCTCCCCAGAGATTGGTGCCACCATACATGCTTGGAATGTTGAGAATGGCAATGCCTTCAAGGAAGATGTTGCTCAGGTCCACCCCAACCCCGTCACACTGAGGGGAGGGGCAGAGAGAAAAGGTCATCTGTTAGTATACTCAGTGCACTCCAATATAAGGCTGTGTGTGTGTGTGTGTGTGTGTGTGTGTGTGTGTGTATGGTAGGGTCTCTTATGAATGATGTGACTGCCCCACAGCCACCAGCCTGCTTCTGTAAGAAGCTGAATCTTGGGCAAAGTTGTTCAGGCCCTAATGCTTTTGGCCACTGTAGTGAGATGGGGGAGATCTAGCCTTGGTCAGCTCTGGGGAAGACAGCACATGGCTCCAGTGATGTTCTATAGGCTTTAGGGATGGTTCACAAGACAATTAATTGCAAATCTGTTCTCCAGCCCAGCCTAATTATCACCAATTCTGACCTTCCCTAACCATTGAGAAGATTTGATAGTACGCTGAGTCCAGAACCTAACACACAGATTCTCAACAATGACAGAAAAGTTTCATTTACCACCTCTTATTTTATCCCTCCTGTGAAAGTAGACTTTAAGACTTGGAAGGCTTTCAGAATTTGCCTGTCTCTGCATCTGTATCCTAAGTGCAATTTTGGCATATGTGCTTGCTGATGTAGCACAGTTGTTTTTTTTTATATCCAATCTCCACCACCTGCATTACCCTCCAGGTACAAAAGGCCAGAAGGCTTGAATTTGCCTGTCTCATATACAGATAAAGTCAGACCACTTTGCCATAATGTTTACCAGTGCAGCAAGAAATATATTAGCTCTGATTTTTGTTCATCAGGATTGTGGGTAGTTTACTTCATTTACAGAAGAAAAAACTCGACCCAGAGAAGTGAGCTAAGGTTGCACAGCCGATAAATAACAGAGCAGGGGTTCTAAGTTTGGGAATTTCACTACAAAGCCCAAGCTTTTCATCTTGCCTATTGTGTGTCAGGGAAAATCAAAAGCATGCAACTAAAATCCATGGTCTTCAAGGTTATCTACAAATCCAAACTTTTAGACATTTCTCAACAGAGGAGGAATAGAAAGGTATGGCTTGTTGCCATTCACCTTGGTTTACCTTCTGATTTCTTTGATGCTCTTAACTTATGGTTCCTTATCCCCATGAATTGTTTTACCAATTATAAAATGGAATAGAGTGAGCTCCTCTGGTAAGTATGAGCTCTTGCTTCATTGTGAAATTCTGATTATTTGGAAGGTCTCTTTATGTTGAACCAGATGCTCTTTCTTCTTGGCTTCTGCCCATTAGTCCTACTCCCCCTTCTGAAGCTAGATAAAATGACCCTTGTTGCTCCTCTATGGGGACAGCTCACCAGATGCATGATGAAATCATCATCATCATTGCACATATGTATTAAGCTTTGCCACCTGCCAGGTGAGCTTTTATATACATCTCATTTATTACCTTTATAATAATCTTAATACGTTGGTTACTATGACTACTCCCTTTTTACATTTGGGGAAACTGAGGCAGCAGTTAAGTAACTTGCTTAAAGTAATAGAACTTACAAATGGAAGTACACAAATTTGATGGCAGATAGTAGGGGCCCACGTCTTAACCACTCCTGTACTTCTCCTCCCCCTTGCATCACCATTTGGTTGTGCCTCTTCTGGGGTGAGCACTGTCAACTCTCTCAGTCCCCTCCTGTAGGACTTGGTTTTCAGACATCCCCCCTCCTTGTTGCCCTGATCTGCACACACTACAGTTTGTTACTCTCCTACTCTGTAAGGCCCCCAGCATTAAAAGCAACACCAATCACAGGATCTAATGGCACAAGTGGCAATGGCACTATTTGGGCTGGGATCCTATGACACTATGATACCCCAGAAATGAGATAATGTGGGAAGCCTATGTAAGGGCTCAACACATGTCTCCCATTATCATTATCCCTATTTGTACATATGGTCAAATTTGCACTAGCTCTTTTGTTAGCAGCTAGATGAAGGCTGCATCAGTTTAGCTTGAATGGGTAGTCATCTACATCACCCAAACTCTGATCCTATCACCTACTTCTCAGCCAGCTCTTCCCTATCCTGAACTTATAAAGATATTGAAAAAAAAAACCCCACAAACTTAGACATAGGGCTTTACATTTATGTCTATTAATTTCATCTGGCTTTCAGCCCAGGCCTAGTCTAGTCCATCTAATTTATTTTAAATCTTCATTCTATGACCTTTTGCAAAAGCTTTCCTATCATTTGGGGATTAAGTCATTAATACATGTAGATAAGGGGCAAAAAACAAACAGGGACTACATTCTCTCTTTGGTCAGTTTAACACACCATACATTGTGCACTAAGCAGCCCTAGGGTTGTGGCTGTCCTATTGGAGCTGCATCCTCTGGATTGAACTGTCAACAGTTCACTTTTAATTTCAATGTAGAATCATGGAACTTTGAGATGAGAGGGACCCAAGAGAACATACTCCATCTTTCATAAATAAGGCCCAGCACGGTTAAGGGACTTGGCCTGTGGTGACCCAAGTTACTATTGGTGGAGCTAGACTAGTATCCTGGTCTCCAGACCTCAATTCTGTGTTCTTTCCAATAAAACATAAGACGTTGTGCTAAGATCAAGTAGTATTTCCTAACTGACCACTCTACAACCCCTATCAGAAAAGGAATAAGAGAACTCATATACTTTCCATGTCCTTTTTTGCTTCAAACATCGTCTAACACTGTGCTTGACCTTCAGCTGGCTTTTGTGCATTCAGACCTGGGTACATGCCCATCCCTTGCCTTTGTGTGTATGTGTACTGTCCCCTGAAAGCACAGGCTCAATCCAGACCTCCATGTTTCTATTGGGTAATTCTTTTTTACACTCTTTTCCTTTTTCCTCTCAATATAATTAATGAATTGTTAGTAGTTTATTTTGAAATGTCTTCCATCATTTCATCCTTTATGCATATATTCTTATTTAGGGATTTAGGCTAGAATCTCACTGAGCCAGACTTTACTTTTCTCCAAACTCTCTAAAGTGAGCTTTGCTCAGGTCTTTGCCCAGCACTGTCTTCTTGTATCCTACACAACACCATCACTTTCCCTGTTGGTTGTTGTTACTTCCACTTCACCTCAATTTATTCATTATTGGCCAAAATGCCCCCTCCCTTCTGAGAGAAAATAGTAATAATATTTGCAGCTCAAGCTTGTGCACTGTGCTGGTCCTTCACCTACATTCTCTCCTGGGATTCTCACATGAGTGCAACGAAGGAGGCATATTTACTACCCACAACTGACAAGGTCTCACAGGGGTAAAGGGCTTACTCATGACTACTCAACTTCCACTCTACAAGCTGCCAGAGCTAGAATGCAGACCCCAGCAGTCAGATGCCAGATCATACTCTGGAGATGAAAGTCAGTGAGGCAAATTGAGATTTTTGCTGATGCTAGACTTATAGCAAAATTAAACTTCCAGCTGTTGTTAAAAAACTGACATTTCCCACCACTACTCTGTCTTGTAGAGTACTTAGAGCAGTCATGGCACATCATTGTTGAAGATAAGTATTATTATATCTTCCCTCTGTGCCAGCTTTGTAAAAAATATATTTACCATTAGCACAGCACAGTTCTTGGGAAATAGATTCCACAAAGTCACCTTTCTTCCCTGTTGCAGTTTTAAGTGTACCCTGTCCCTTCCATCTCCAGTCGTAAGGAGCTAGGAGTGTTAGCTTTAATTTGGTTAAGTTAACCTCTCTCTGGAAGAGCAAACAGTCCTCACTCTGCTTTCTGAAAAATTGTCCCCTTCCCCCATTATCTCCTTGAAAATAGAGGAGGTGGGAGGAGCCTGGGGACTATTGGACAGTAGATACCCCCACCCTTGGAATGTACCTATTTGAAAGCCAAGAGGCAATGCAATGTTGGAAAGAGGTTGCCTGGGCTTGGAGATTGAGAGATATGGGTTTAAATCTTAGTTCCTTCACTGGCCAGCTGCATGGTCCTGCATTGGTTCCTTTCCCTCTTTGGGTTTTAATTTGTCATTTGTAAAATGGGGGTGGGATGGGGGAATAAACATCTACTTTCGGGGTTGATTAGTCTCTGGAAGGCAGTAACATTCCCTCTAATCCTTTGCATTATTATTACAGTTAGTAGTATTGCCTGTGCCATGAGGCATATTTCGGCCTGAAATCATTCTCCCACTACCTGAAACCCTGCTGGTAGCATTCTAATGACTCTGTGGCCGGACCCATGCTAGTCAAAGCCTTGACACCCATATATATCTGCATGCCCAGTCCTCGGGGTTCCTGAACTAGACATCACACACTGATTTCCTTCAGAACCCCAGGCCCGCTTAGGTCTCTGGAAAGGTGGAAAGCATTTAGGAAAGTGGAGCCAACAGTGGTACACTGTCGGCTTAAATGGAACACAGGCCCTCGGCCTCCCAGGCGGGTTTCTGAGCTAAATCCTACAACAGTTCCATGACGTCATCCGTCCCCCTCCCTCTGCTCCGACTCAGGGGGCTCCCCGGGCGGGGGTGGGAGGTGGGGGGTTGGGAAGCGCAAGGAGGGCGGCGGTCCCAGCGCGCACTGTTAGCCATCCCTTAACTTGGGATTGTGCCAGCCGATTCCCCTCGAAGGCCAGGCTGCGCGGCAGCGAACTCAGGTATTTATAGATCAGTTTGGGGCTGAAACAGAAAGCTCTTGTCCTCTTGTCCGGGACAGCGAGCGCGCACACGCCAACAAGCAACCGTGCTCCCAATGCCTGGGAGGCAAGGTGCAGGGCCGCTGCGCCAGGTCCATGGCGGCGCTGCGGGCCGGGGTGGGGTGGGGTGCATCGAGGCCAGCCCCGCTCCAGCCCCCTTGGAAGCGGTTCAGGAATCTGCCCAAACCCAGGCCCGGAGCGGCCGGCGCCCGCCTCCTCAAGGCCTGGCTGCGCCGCCCGCAGCTGTCGGCCACGTTCTACGTTGGTTCCCTTTGCGCAGAGATACCCACACTTCTGGTTTCTTTCTGAGCCAAGGATGGTTTGTTTGTTTGGTGGAGGGCCGGTGCATAGGTAACCGGAAACTTGGTTACGAAGCCAAGGCGCAGTTATGTGTACACTAAATGCG